CCCCAAAACCCCAAAACCCCAAAACCCCTAAAAATTTGATAAATGTTGAATTTCATAGAATTATCTGATAGTATCGCCTGTACGGTTCTCAGAGAAGACTCTTACAAAAGTTGAAATGTCTGTTCCAGAGTTTACTTTCTCTCTTATCATTAAAGTGAGTTCTTCAAACTCAATACCAAGCCCCATCTTGTTATTTACACTAATTATAATATCTGTAGTCGCCTTTGTCTTGATAAATCCTTTCTTGACTAAATCAATGAATATTTTTATAAATGTTTCCTTTGAGATCTTGATCAGCTTCCCTTGGTTTCTTTTCAAAAACAGCTTGTATTCATTATAAGCAAGAGTGAAAGTGAAGAACTCTTGCATGCAATTCTGAAAAGAGTTCTTTGCAGAGATCAGCACAACTAAATATGCTTCAGGCATCTTAGACAATATTGTCTTGAAGTCATTAGAGGTTGAAAGATTCTCAACATAATCCAGACTCTTTTTAAACAATTCACCGCCATTTTCTTCAAAAGTGGAGATCATATCTGGCTCAGATTTATAGGTACTATTAAGATGTGATAGAGCGATTTTGAGTGTTCTACATAAGAATTCGTAATCCTTTCCTTTATCGAATAACTTTTGGAAGATCTCCATTCATCCATACTCAGGATCCTTGATAAACTTATAAAGTTGGTCAATAAACTGCTTCTCTTGTCTGTTAGTCTCACTATGCCCTCCAATACTTTTGATAGTGTCGTCAATTCAGTCTTTAAATGTCTTCAAATCTTCACTATAAAAGAGGATTTGTCTATGTGAAAATCTACTTTTGATCCTTTTCTCAAAGCTATCAATAATATCTACTCTTTGGGAAGTAGCGATGAACGCAAATTTTATCTTTGTGTATTGGAGCATGTCTAGGATCTTATAAAGAAGTGACTGCTTTGAATTCTCAACATAGTACTCCACATTCTCTAGAATGAAAAGTACCGCTATTCCTGGTCAATCTTTGAAAAATGCCTCCATCCGCTCTCTCATCTCTTGGGCTAGGGTCTGCTTATCTCAGTTATCCATTCCTAGTCATTCAGCAAAATGGTTCAGAATAGCGGTTTCTTTAGTGGTTAAGATGGAGTTTATTCTAATAGTTCTTACATCTCACTTTACCGCTTCATCCTTCAACTTTTTATTAAGATCATTTCTGATCTTACTGATAAATTGGTGTAAAACAGTGTTTGACCGGGACATCAAGATCATGGATTGGTTCTCGTTATAAATAAATCTATTGAGCATCTCCATAACTGTGTCATATTGCTCATAAAAGAACTTCGTACCCACATACATTGATGTGAAGTTACTAAGCTTCTCGATGAGTTGTTTGATGACATTAGTAAGCTCTGCAACTTTACCAATATTTTTCTTTTTCTGTACCGGATCAATTTTCTCCTCTTCATTAGATGCGCCATCATACCCATCTCTATGACCTTCTCGGGAGCTATACTTCTGCTCTTCCACTTTGTTCTCAGGGTCAATTCCCTTCTCTTCACATTCCTTCAAGTTCTTAAGGGACTTATTTTTGCTCCTAACAATGAGGCTTGATTTCATGGAGGGTTGGTTGAAAGAGCTCTGTTCTTTGAACAGCTCTTCATCGCCATCATCACTTGCATTATTAGAGACCATGTCTATATCTCTTTCCTTGTCAGGTTGTTCCTCCTGATAAGGGACATATGTCCTTGCGATTTCTTGCATATCTTGATCCCCACTCATTTTAATTATTATTAAAATTGATTAATTTTACCGCTTAAATTCAATCAAAATCTTTTTTCTAGGGGTTTTGGGGTTTTGGGGTTTTGGGGTTTTGGGG